CATGAGGGTTTGCTGGCCAAACTTTGATGCTATGGCTTGTTGGATCATTTTTGTGTATGGCTCTTCAGCTTCCTGAAAGAACGTTCCCTGCAAGTGGCCGTCGAAGGATATCTCTCGAATGCTTTTACCATCAACGCTGGTGTTTTCCCAGGCAATTATATTTACTCCAACCCTCTTTTAGTTGAATATCAACGACTTATTGGAAAAAATCAAGAATTCAATATATTGCTATGCTGACGACAGCACACTTGTCTCGTCATTCCATTTGGATTCCAGGCTATGGAGGCACATCTTCACCGACAGCAGTTGGTTGCATATCTTAATGAGGATCTAGACGTGATTTCGAATTGAAGCGAAATTAATCAGGTTCAATTCAATGCCACAAAAACCCAGGCATCGGTTTTCTCCAAGAAGATAAATGACTCCGAACCGGATATAATAATTTCAAGTCAGACAATTCCGCTTTCTGCTTTGATAAGTTTGTTGGGGGTTAAAGTGGACACCAATATGTCTTGGCACAATCATGTTGCTGGAATTGCAAAGTCTGCTTCTCAAAAGCTTGGAACAATATTTCGAATTAGAAAACTGTACACAGCTCAGCAACTTTTGATGCTTTATAATGCTCAGATCAGACCTTCTTTGGAGTATTCTTCTCATGTATAGAGCTCTGCCCCAAAACATACACTGAAGTTACTGGATTCCATCCAGAAAAGAGTCATCCACCTGATTGGAGACGCGAACATCACGTGCAACCTTGATAGCCTGGAACATCGAAGAAACGTTGGAGATTTGTCTCTCCTCTATAGATACTGCTCATTGTTTTGAGGATCAACTCAGTATACCACGAACTTCAATGTTTAAGAACTCTTTCATCTGGAAAAATGCGTTTATTTGGAATAAACGGATAATATAGAATTGACGCATTTTTATTTCTGACTTGAACTGTTTTATGTACCTAGTCAATTTTATCAGAAATGTAAAATAGTATAAATGAAATCTAAGTTAAAGAAAGAAAGTAACGGATAATTAAAAAAAACAACAGTGTAAATGCAATAAGTTAAAATTTATTGGTTTATAAAATAACATTTAGTTCTACTATCACAGCAGTAGTTGTTATACAATTGGCTATCGGTCAAAGATAAAATGAGTAAAATAAGAGTAAGTACTGGGTAGTAGAACGAGTCTTTCTTCTGCGAAATATTTAGTCGTATTAATATTATTCATTGATTCCGTTTGGAATATTCAAATATGTATCTATAATTGCGTCACACAGAAGAAAGAAAATAAAACAGATAAAAATTCTATAGGAACTTTTCATGTACAACTACTTAACTGTAAATAATTTCAACACCAATGTATTTGCTAGGTGGAAAAACAGCCCTAATTGTTATTGTTATTGGTCGATTGTATGAAAAACCCCAAATAATACAACTTCATTTCCATGATGTTCAAGACCTTGGAACAAGAGTATTTACAATCGAAGACATTAACACTTCTACCCTCAAACATATATTGTGAGCTAAAAAAGAAGATATTTTTACAAAAAGCGAGTACAAACAGATTTCGAATAACTTTCGAAAATGACATTAGATTTGTTAGGTTTTTTTGACAATAATTGAAAGAGTTTCTGATATATGTAAAAGTAACCGAACTGTTAAGATAATTCAAAAATGTATATCAAACTGAATTATTTAATTATAAAAAATTTGGTGTTAATAAATTGCATCTTATTTCATAGATCTCCGTTAGAATTTAAACATTTCTGTACAGCGTTAAGGACTTTTCCAATTCTAGCATAGGCAAATATATATAGTTAGTTAATATGAATTCACTAAAATGCTCTTCGTATTAAGATTTTGAAAATTTACTGAAACTGGCCGACACTTGATCAAAATCCAATAGCTTCCTCAAGCTAGTACATCGAAACACGTGTCGCAGATTTGTAAACCTATTATAGTGAAAATCACAATGAACACGTGTTTCGCTGGATACTAGCTTACTTTTATAGTTTTTTCTATACTCGATGAAGCCTTCATTTTGAGAATCATAATTGGTTTTAAATATGCTCATTGTGGATTTACATTCAATTGTCGCTCAAGTCCAATCAAAATAACATCTCACTTTTTATGACGTGAATGAGTATGAAGAAGCAATGGCAGTGTTACATCAAAGACAAAATTATATGTGGAAACGTAATAAATTATGTAGCATACGTTCGGATATTGGTCTTACTTATATAAAAGGTAACTTCTAGTCATCAGTTTCATTATTACTATACTAAGATCGCATCTAACGAAGTTTTACGGTAAGCATTTGAATGTTATTATGTAAAGTAAACCTTCAAAAATCTAAGTTGCATTGAAAAAAAATGTTTTTTCACAAATACGAGTACTTATTCCCTACGATATGAAATAAAACAGAATCGAAAAGTCCTTTACCACGTAATCATATACAAATTACAATTAATGTTGGATTCATAAAAATTTTTAAAAAATATTCACGAGAAATAATAAATCTAATACTTAATATTAACCTGAATGGACCGTCTGAAAAAGGTAAGTCAAAACAATATTTCCAAATCACTCCAAATTGAATCAAAGAGTTGATTCAAGAACAATAATTTTTCTACAAAGTCACATGCTAGTTATCCAAGTCCTACGTCTAAAGTCATCATTACCAGAAAACCGAGAATAGCTCCCCAGGTAGCCAGCTTTCCATTTTCACTGGAAATAGAAAACATCGATAAATAAAATATATCCAAACTAATTTAGAATAAAAAAAGAAGAGAAAATCATACTGTAATTTTTATATTATTGTTAGTAAACTAGATCTTCAGATTTCAACAAAATCGTGAAAACCTTATGGATTTCTAAAGTTCTGCAAAGGTTCCATACAATGAATATATCATTTCTTTTTTAGACATCTGAGATATGTACAGAGTGGGCCAAATTAATGTTTTTTGCCGAATTGATTAATTCGATATTAGTGAGAGAAGCAAAACTTTGCATATGGAAGAAAAGAGAATTGAAACTTTCTATGTTTTTCGTTACCACTTTTATTTGTAACTAACGTTTCTGCAGTTTCGCCCTATAAGGACATTTTCAAACTTGTTACGAAAATATCTCTGAAAGGTTATCTGGATACCCCTGTTACACAACAGTGTGAAACATCTCACAAGCTGATAGAAGCAAATTGGCTTGATATGAATAGGTGCAGATTATTTCATGCTACGTGTTTATTCCATGAAATCATTTCAAATAAAAATCAAATATATGATTCAAAGATTGAATAATACATACATTCACGAAATACTTTTTGAGTTCATTTCAATTTTTATAATATGTAAGATGTATAATTATGTTCCTTTTATCACCAAAAAAATAGCAGTGAAGAGTTTCAAAATACAGTTGAAATATCTCATTGATAAGCAATTGTAACTACAAGGTTGTACCATCTATGTACACTATGTTGGCGATTACAAAAGTTATAAACAATTAAGTGAAAAAAAAATGGGGCTTTAGTNCACTATCCAAACTAATTTCAATGTTTTCCCATTTCTCAAATCTAAGTTCAACATTAAAATCAAATAATAACAAAAATTATTTTAAACATCACTGAGTCCAACCTCAATGACAATGTAAGTACATAATTTTCAACTGTACAATATCAATGTTGGGAGACCATGAAAAATCCGGAATTGACTGGGAACATCGTAATCACTGGGTACACATTAAACATTTTGACCTCTTGGCACGACGCCCCTGGAGAGTTGTAGATATAGTGGAAAACGTTACAGCTACCGGAAGCAGGTATGGAACCGGAACAGAACGGTGATATTTTCCATTTCGTTTGCATGTATCGCAAGTGTTGCTATCAAAAGTATTGCGATACACAAATTGACCAAATGCTGGTTCTCACACTAATTCACAGGATAATTCTGACTAGTATTACTCGCTTTGTACGATTTCTCTTCGAACTCAATTCTAACAAGTCAAAGACGTGAATCTATTCAAAAATTAACTGAATAAACATATCGACTTCAAAAAGCAATTTGCTAAAAAGGATAATATTACTACGTGGTAGGAGATCATCATGAAAGATTAAACTTTCTGTTTTTTACTACTTTTATTTGTAACTAACGTTAGGTACTGCAGTTTCTTCCTGTAAAGGCATTTTCAAACTAAAACAAGTTTATTGTATTGAATTGAAAGGGTATATTTTTAGGAGAGATTAATTTTTGTTTAAATAATAAGGTCATCTATCACATATTGTGTAAAAATTGGTGAAATAGTCGAATACATGGGTATACCTTTAATTCGTTTGTAAAACGAATTTCGGAATGCACAATAAGATGTTTCGAAAAATCAAATCAATTGCTTTAATGAATGAAGATTCGGATAATTTGTGAAGTTTGATAATATTTCAGTGCTTCTTCATACTTGATTTGATAAAAGATAAAGTGGATTACTCATATTGTTGAATAAAGATGTTAAATTTAAACTTACTAAGACATAACCTAATGAAATTGTGTTTCTTGCATGGAATCCTCAAAATGAAATGAATCCTATAGACATATGAATTGTTT